AAAAACCTACAAAATATGCTGCTAAAATTTTAAAATTTTAATATAAAATGGAGTCACTCTAAAATATATTGAAAATGACTCCACTAAAAATAATTTTTGCAAAAATGTTAAAATATTAAAAAATAAAAAAAAATAATTGTGTTTTATGTTTTAAATAATTTACATGTATTTTATATTAATTTAATATAGTTTTATATGTTATTTTTAATATATTTTTTAAAATAAATAAGTTTATTATTTTTAAAAAAAGTTATTGAAACCTGAAACTATAATTTTAAAAAAGGGTTTCAGTAAAAATATCTAGGGTTCAAAGGGTTCTGGTTCAGGGTTCGGATTTCTGGTTCACACGATGCTATTTAACTCTATACGCGCTACTCTAAATTCTTAGACACTAAAAATTTCATCACTATTCCTATTTATCAAATATGGAAGGTATAACCAGAGATTTTTTTGCAGATGACAGAAATCTAACACCTTACACGGGTAATCAATAAGTCATTGTTGATTGAATGGACAAATGAGTAGTGGAACGACAATAAACAAGATAATTTTATGAAAATGGATGTTTGAGACTTTGGAGACCACAATTTATTTAGTGAAACGATATAGAAGAATAACTGCTAATTATCACGATGTATTTCTACATGGGACAAAGAGAAGGGATAGGGAAATTATATTGAGGCTAATATCGAATTTTAAATCGTGATGCATTTAAGATATCTTTTCCTCCATTTAAAATATTTTTGCAACTTAAGATTTTACGAGCTCTTTAGAATTATTTGTATTATTCTTCAGTTTGTTTAATAGATATGCAAATAAAATTGTTAAAATATCATTATTTCTTTGAATCAAGTTAAATCTTCGGCATAAATTATATTATATTGAAACGCAGCATTGTTTAGGTAAAATAATGAATGATGCAAATATTAATTGTAAAATAAAGTATTTTGTATTTATTACGATTTCAAATATGTAAAAATAAATATACTATAAGCTTTTTTAAAATTATAAATAGAATTATCCATGCACAATTTATTAAAAATAAAATCAAAATCATACCACTTTCCTACATCATCCTCTTTTATTAAAATGAACGATAATCTTATTGAAAGTGAAAATAAAATATTTTTTCTGAAAAGATTACATAGAACTAAAGATATAGATTCCAGTTACAACAGATTACTTTTTTTATTAAGATTTATTATAAGACATTATGATATTTTTTAGCAGAGAATCTGGAAGCGTCTCTATTTCCCCTACAAGTCATTCTTTTACTTGCTTTTTAATCTAAGTTTGGCTAAAATTTTGTTTCCTAAAAAATTTTCTCTCTGTACTGGTTACAATACTAGTTTAAAACAGTCATCGATGCTAATAGAGCACTAAATATTGGCGCATTGACTCAACAAATATAAAGAAGACCAGATTCTAACTAAAATAGAGCTTGGAAAGATATTACGAACCCTGGAAAAAAAATGTATCACTTTGATGATCAACAAAGACAGTTTAATATCTATTTTTATCTAACTACTATGATAAAGAAATAAATAAGAATTTTGTGCAAAAAAATTTGGCTATAAAAAAAATTAATTAAATGTAAATGCATAATAGCGGAAAAAGGAAAAATAGTTATTAATTTATATATATATATATATATTTTTTTGAAAAGTTTAGTTAGATGATAAAAACATTTAGACCTTATTCATCATGTCACCATTAATTTTCAATTTTATCATTTCTAAATATTCTTAAATGCAAAAAACCAAAATATTATAGCAAGCAGCCATTGATATGGGTAAAATGTTATGGAGAAACGGGATAAAATGATATAAAAATTTTAATTTAATATAAAGGTTTTCTAGTTAATAAAAATTTCAAATCATTTGTGAATATTGCCCATATCCAACTTATAAAACCACAATATGATTATCTAATCCGTCATTTAGACCATTATCTAGTACCTACACACACCAAATTTTTACTCTTAACTCCACAAGAAACTCGTTAATATGTCCTAATCCAAATTTCTCGCAACAGAAAGAGAAAATTGATTAAAATTTATAATATTTTTGTATGACAGGCATACGACCCTGCCTGACATATCTGACCTGTCAGCCATCCTTTCTAATCTTATAAGATTATTTGACAAAATTATAATATATTTTTTTATAGTGTCATAAAAAAAAATCCTTTTTTTAAAGGAATATCTTAACTATATTATCTTATTATAAAATAAGTTTTTGGTAATATAATATGTTATGTTTATATTATGTATTATATATGTATATTTTATGCTAAAATATGTTAAATATATGCAAAAATATAGGGGAAGAAAAATATACATATTATATAATATTATAAATACTATAAAAAATAAATACAATTTATTATGGAAGAAATAAGAAGTAAAAAAATCCAAAAAAAAAAAATTTGTTTTTAATATTAAATATTCTTAATTTTTTTTGTTTGTATGTTTTGTGTTAAAGAAATAAAATATAAAAATAGATTAAAATCAGAGCTGAACACATCCTTGTCCATCCCCTCATCCACAATCCCTTCTATCTTCCATTTCTGATTTAATTAAAGAAATATGTATATTTTTTTCTTCTCTTCTTCTTCATTATATATTTAATAATAAAGTATAAAAATAAAATATACATAATTTTTTCGGTTTTTATTATAATATAAAATGTTTAGGATAATTTATTTTATCATAATACACATATTTATTTTATTTTTATGAAAAATTATTAAGTAATTTGTCGTTAAAAAAAACGAGAATAGAAAAAAAAAAATTTACATTTTATTTTTTATTTTTTTACTTGTTTTGCTATTATAATTTATAAATAAAGTAAATGAATGGTTTTTTTTTTGATTAAAAAAAAATAATATATTATAGCTTTCCCAAATCCCAAGAAGGAAAGAAGGTTATATTATAATAAGCAGAGTTGTTAAAGGATCTAGATACATGTATCTAGATATAAAAATGTGGTATCTGTATCTGTATCTAGATAGATTTTTGATTAAAATATCGGTATCTAGATAATATTTTAGATCATGTATCTGTATCTAGATCCATTTAAAAAGTATCTTTCAACAACTCTAATAATAAGTATATAAGTGTACAAAGTATTAATATAGGAATAGCGTTGTTAAACGGCTCGAATTGAGCCGATTTTAAAACCGCTAACCCAATATTTGATCCAGAATAATATTGCCCAAGCCCTGAAGATTTTGGTCATAGAAGGAACAAAGTTTTAGACATCCATTAGCGAAATCTCGAGGCTCAGTGTCATTATTTTTCTGACTAAAATATTGAGTTAGCCGTTTTTAAAAATCAGCTCATATCGAGTCTTTCAACAACACTGAATAGGAGTTTCAAATTTGGTTGGCAATACACAGTCAAAGTCTAGGGTTTTTAGAGAATTTTTAAAATTTAAATAGTTTAGAGCGATAAATATTTTGTTTTTTTTTTGAAAATCCTTATTAAGAAGAAATTGTTTTTAAATATGGATAGAGTTACCTAGTCCCCATATATTCTGTATACGCCGGAGTCTGAATCATGGCAAATTCGGGTTTTTTCAAAAAATTAAAAAAAACACGCTAAAATTTGTACTTTTATTTTGCATTGATAAGGTTATCTATTTAAAATTGTAGATGTTAAAGGAAATCAATAAGTTTTTTGAAATGTATAATATGAAGCGTGGGTAATTATACTAATAATATATATAGCATTGGTGGTCATATAATCAAATTTGCTAAACAAACGCCCAATTTTAACAAAATTTAATAAGACCCAGTTTTATATATATATAAAGGAGTCACCACGCTGTGATTGCCTATGCTCTATATATCGTACTTTGTAGTACCAAAACACCTAGTTAGCTTCATGGGGAAAAAACCTGGTCCTTGCTGGATTCGAGCCCAGCTCGAGGTTCAGAAAGTGGTCCTCAATTAACATCTATAGCAACTGAGCCACAGACGTTATACTAAAAAACAATAATTTTTTTTTATACATAAGGATAAAATTATCACCTTAAAAAAGCAGATAAAAATATTAATAACGTTCACCCCTCCCTTTATACACTTTAATTTAATTAAGAATAGAAATTTTCTGAGTTTTTCTATTTGAATCTGTTATTTTTTAAAAATAAAATTGTATTTTGATTCTTTGGATCAGCATTGTTAAATGGCTCGATTTGATCCGATTAATATGGCCCTAGCTGAAAAATCGTGAGCAAAATATTCAGGCTTGGGTAATATTTTTCAGAACTAAATATTGAGTTAGTCCAAGTGTTGTAATGGCTAACTCAATATTTCATTCAGCAAAATATTACGCAAGGCTGAAGATTTTGTTTATATAAGGAACAAAGGCCTAGACATACATTATCGAAATCTCTAGGCTTAGGCAATATCCTTCTAAATATTGAGTTAGCCGTTTTAAAAAATCAGCTCAAAACGAGCCGTTTAACAACTGAGTATTTTTGTATTTATTACGATTACAAGATTTTGAAAAGAATACAAATACTTTTTTTAAAATTTTGAATTGAATTTTAAATATAGATCCATAATTAATTAAATATTAAATTTGTGATCCCAGTATGCGAAAAATTAACGTATTCCATATTAAATCTTATTCTATTTTTAAATTGAGTATTACCGATAAGTGAAAAACTAAAATTACAAGTTTTTTTGAAGATGAAGAAAATGTAGTATGAAGAAAAGGTGTTTCCTTATTAAGAAGCTATGATAATATATTTTATTTGTGTATGTATATAAAAAAAATCAACATTTACAAATTTATTATTATAAAATAAAACTATAATAAAATTAAAAACGGATATTTATTGATAGTTTTAATATTTAAAATTTACTAAAAAAGATATTTTATAATTTATTATCAATATAAGATATAATAATTTAAATTTTCATTATAATAAATTTTAATATATTTAAAAATGTTTGAAAAATATATAATAATACTATTAAAAAAAGAACGGAGATGGTGTGACGCAGGGAAACAAAAATGAAAAAGGAACGTAAGCGTTGTCTATGATAGCTCTTTGGCTAGAAGGCTACCATTGAAACTGATATAATTAGCTTTGTGAATCGCTATGGATAATCGTTGACGAAGAAAAAAACCCTCTCGAGGTTCTTCTGAGAGTTTGCTGATTTGTGATCCTAAGTTTTTGAAAAATGCTAAGGCGAGTTTGCCGAAGGTGCCAAGAGTGGTTGATATGATTGGGATGAAGCAATGATCGTTTATTATTTCTGTGTATTTAGAAATTTTAAGTTGTTCCTTCTGGTCAAGGATGTTGATGGCGTGGTTGGATGGGGCCAAGGGGTCAATACAGGAATAGTCCCATACCAAAAGTTGGCCTCTCCTCCATGGGATTTGAAGATCCCATCAGGACGTTTACCGTCAGATCTAAAAAGACCCTGTGGTTCTAACGTGGAAGGAATTTGGGCGGATTTCAGAGCATCTTGGATGATTGTATTACATTGCTTGTGTCTGATGAATCGTCCATTGCAGGAGCGACAATGTAAACTATGTCTACCCTTCGAGTCAACTGGCGAGTTGCACCCTGAGCAGATGTGGGGGTGAGTGATGGAACAATTTAGACGAATGCCGATGGCATGGGTAAATTCATTGTTGGATAGTTGAAGCTGAAGATTGGTAGATGGGATGGCCTCAAGAAACTCATGTCCTGTACCATTGAGCAAGGAAGAGAATAGGGTGCGGTAGGTAGATTGCATGCTAGATAAGAGAGTTTCAACGCAGCGTGCAACCACTGGTGCATCCCAGTCTTTCTGTTTATGGGTTGTGGGGGGATGAGAATCAGCATTGATCCTTGTTTTCCAAATATCCTTAGCCACGATTAAGGAAAGGTCTTCTTTAGAATTATGGGCGGTGGTTATTGGCTTTGTCAAGAGACTACTCGATATGAAAGTAGTTGTTGCTAAGTCAAGTGGAGATCTGATGCCGAGACCACCAAATTTGGTTGGAAGAGTTGCTTGGGCCCAAGCGGTTTCGTTGAATCTGATATTTACTATTTTTTCGAATCCTTGGTGTAAAAAAGAAATTTTTTAGCAAAAAAAAGGACTTGTGTGATGGAAGAAGTGTAAAGATGTCCTCCAGTTTAAGGAGTATGTCAAGTGTGGAATGAAGAAAGGTGCTTATTGCCTCGTGTCCTCCAACAGGCGATCCTAGATGTGTTAATTCAACGCTTGATGTGAATTTGAAATCGTGAGTGTTGGGAGCATTAGAATTTAAAAGTGAGAATTCAGATTTGCTCTGGTTAAGCGAAAGTCCAATGGCTGTGCCCATTTCTTTAATTATGGTGACTGCTTTGGCAATTTCACTACTGGGACCACTCAAGATTCCATCATCAATATACCAAGCGTGGAGCGATAGAGTACATGAAGAGTTTATTGATTTTATCATGTCATTGATTCCAAGACTAAAGAGAATGGATCCGAGAGGGTCACCTTGTTGGATACCCTCGACAGAAAGTATTTTTTCTTTGTTGAATTGTAAGATTGTTGGTGATTGGTAGCAAGAGAAAAGAAATTTGGTATAAGCGGGGAAATGGAAGCAAGTTGAATGTAGGAACGTGTTGCGCGAAAGAGTGTTGTAGGCGTTAGAGAAGTCAATTTTTACTAGGGATTCGTTTTTTGGGTTATTTTCAAGGTGAATTCTTGTTAAGTGCACAGCGGCTTCACACCCACCAGGTATCCCTACACCAAGTTGATAGGGGCTTAGAATGTGTGCGGCATCGTGTTTGATTCTAGATGCGATTAATTTAGCGACCAATCTATGGTAAGTTGAACCAATGGCGATGGGCCGAATGTCCTTGTTTGGTTTTTGGAGTGCGATGAGTCTGGCACCGAATAGTAAGGGGGTAATAAAGCTAAGTACGTCTCCATTTAGGATTTTGTTGACTAAGTTTGTGATTTTAGTGAGAATTGAAACCTGTGTACAGATCACAGGAGAGGTAATGTCCTGTAAAAAAATTGGTCTAATCCCATCTAGACCATGAGCCGAATCCCGATGAAAAGATAGGATTGCTTTCCTTACTTCTTCCTGTGTAAAATCTGCTGCACAATGGGAGAAGGGTTGGGGCAATATTGGCATAAATGTTGTTGTGGGATGCTTTGATCGAAGCTTAATTAAGGTTTCTAAATTGGATTCCGCCAGAGTGTCATTGGTTGAAATGAGTTTGAGGGCCCCATTGATATTAAGACTGTCAATTTTCTTCGAAATCAATGAGGCTTTTTGTTGAAGTGGGGTTATTTTTTTTTGTTTATGGGATGTCTGAAGATTTGGGACTCATGAAGATGAGTGTTGATGTTTAAACAGGCATCTTTTATTTGTTGAGTTAATGATTTTTGGAGTGATATGTCAGGTATTTTGAAAGTATTGTACCCAAAGTTTAAAAATTTTAATCATTCTTCTTCTTTGTTAAAATTTTGCAAAAGAGAAGATATGCAGTTGCTGAGAGATTTAGCTACTTGTATTCTCGCTCCTTTGGGTATTCTCGTTATGATACTTGGTTTTGTGGAGTTAAGAAAAATATCTGAGAATGAGGCACCAATTACTTCGTTTAAGGGATAATCTATGAGAGGAGGGGGGAAGCGAGTAAGTGATCTGAGAAAGAGGCGTGTGTTTTGAATGCGGACACCTGTTAGAGATTGGTCCATGAACAAAAAATTCTCCATCATTTGTTAAATGTATTGGTTTCATGCAGGATGGGCAGATTCCGTTCGTGTGGAATGGCCATAGGTATAAAAAATAAAAAAAATGCTGCCAATAATAAAGCAAAAGCACCTGTGAGAGGTCTGTTGATTGATGTGCAAAAATAGCGAAGGAATGATGATATTATATTTATAAGATATCTTTGCAGGAATCCTGCTACAAGCGTCAGCATCCTCATCTAAATGTAATTTGACAATTTTGGATGAATTTTTTTCTTCAAATTATTATCAAAATCATTGAAGGCTAAACATAATATCTGTTCAACTAAAAATAAATCGAAGATCATAAATTGGAGCGAATTTCATCCTCCATTAATTTATTATATGCTCCGTAAATAGGGTTATTAATTATATTTTCAATTATTAAATAATTTATCTGGTATGGTTAGAGATGAAAAATTTCCGGTGAAAAATAGGGGGAAAAAATGGGAATAATAAGGGAAAAAAAAACTCTTAATATCTTAATTACATATAATAATATAAATTATATAAAAACAATATACAATATAGGTCTAAATAGTAGAAATAAATTTACATTATTAAAATAGTAAAATATGGTAAAATGGTTTAAAAAAATCATGCCCGGAATCATAAATACATTCACTATTTTATTGGATTCTGGGAAAATATGTCATCATGTAGGTGTTGATTATAACGGATTGAACCCCATTTTCTCGATCTTTCATGGTGTAGTCGATTTCTAATATTTGATTGAGTTTTAAGCTTAGCATATTCCTTTTGAGGCTCCATTGGATGGGGGCGAGAATAATTTTGCAGGTATTTGACTGCAAACCCCATTCAGTGCAAAGAGAAGGTTTTTGAAAATGTAGTGCTATATGAGAAGGTATTGCAAATATTTAGCAATAAATCTGGTGTAAATCAGCTAGATTTGTAGTTCATGTTATATTAGAAGAGAAAATAAAGTATAGTAACAAATGGGTAAGTAAGTTGAATATAATGAGAATGATTTATGTTTCTTCATTCAACCAGATATTCACTAGAAGAAAAAAATCATTTTAAAGCTGAAGATATAAATGACAACAGTCGAAAGAACGGCAATAAAAATAAATTACCATAATTCATAAAAACTAAATGGGAAATATATTCAAGAAGCTCACTTAGATTGGTTGCTAACATTTTCGGTCAAATTTAAGGAATTAATAATATCGACTAAGAAAAGAAGTAGTGTTGTTATACGGCTCGTTTTGAGCCGATTTTTAAAAACGGCTAACTCGGTACTTCATCCATAAAAATATTACCCAAGTCTGAAGATTTTGCTAATAAAAGGAACAAAGTGTAGACATGTATTATTGAAATCTTGAGGTTTAGGCAATATTTTTTGGATAAAATATTGAGTTAGACCCTTTTAAAAATCGGCTCAAAACGAGCCGTTTAACAACACTACTAAGAAGTTTTATAATTAATAATGTTATAAATATTTTTTTCAAAATAAAATTTTTTCAAAGAAAATATAGATATAAATAAATTTTTTCAAAAAATAAAATATATTTTGTAATATATATGTCGGAATACAATACCTGTAAAATGTCAAATATTTACTATTTTTGTAAATGATCAATTAAAAAAAAATAATAAAAATTTAATTTTTTTTAAAATTTCTCGTTCTCAAAAAAGAGAAAGAAAGAAAGAAAGAAGAAGGGAACATTAATTTTTCAGTAAAATAAAATAATTACATAATATAACATAGGCAAGGTGTCCCTTTTCCGCTAATTTCATTAAATTTTAATTCTCCTCTTTCTTTCTTTTACTTATTAATAATATTATTTTATTTTTTAAAACCAATTTATAGTTACTTATTTGTCACCGTTCACGGCACGCTCACTTCACAAATAAAAAGTTAATTACTTTCTCCTCCTTTATAAATAAATATAAGCATTAAATTTGTGTAATAATCGAACTAATTTTCCCCAGAATTTGGCATAACGGCGTTTATAATTGCGTTTGAATTTTTTTTCGAAAGAAAATGTAATGATATAATTATTTAACATTTGCGTTTTTGACATTATAATTAAAAGATTTTTTTTGTTTTTTTAACATATCTTTACTCTCCTAAACTAAAAAAATTTTTTTTTTGAATATATTTTCATTTAATATTAGTATAACTATTATAATAGTGATTATCAGAGTTGTTAAAAGATACTTTTTAAATGGATGTAGATACAGATACATCGTCTAAAATAATATCTAGATACAGATATTTTAATCAAAAATCTATCTAGATACAGTTACAGATACCACATTTTTATATCTAGATACAGAACAACTCTGGTGATTATCGATACGATTATGAAGGAGATAATTAGTGGTTGGCATTAGTGTTGTTAAACGGCCCGTTTTGAGCCGATTTTTTAAAACAGCGAACTCGATATTTTAGCCAGAAAAATATTGACTAATTCTCGAAATTTCGATAAAATATGTCTAGACCTTTGTTCCATCTATGAGCGAAATCTACAGGCTTGTGTAATATTTTTCTGGATGAATTATTGAGTCCGGAGCCGTTTAACAACACTAGTTGGTATTACATGTAATTTTTTTTTACCGTTGAAATAGCAATCAAAACTATATCTTTCAATTACAGAAAGTTTGAAACCTAAACTAATATCTGGGGTTCCCGAAAATTTTAAATAGGATTTCTGGTATTTAAAATTTGGGAAAATTAGAAAGTGGTTTCTGTTAGGGAAAAAAAAGCTCATCTCAATTATAATGTGCAACAAAAGGCGTAATAATAAGTAGATATTCGATTGTAATAAATAATGGAAGAATTGTTAAAGAGGGAATTTTAAAATTTTTTTTTTTAAAAATATAGAGAATTTAGACCCTTAAAAACAAACGTTTTATTACTAAATATTTTAATTTTTAAATTATTATGTAAATAAATAGTATTAATTATTAAGTAGATAACTAAACTAGCATATAATTATTTCTCTTCTTTTTTTTTAAAAAAAAACACTTTATTTAAATGCCTTAAAAAAAATTGACCCTATCATTAAAATACCAAAATTACCAAATTTAAAAAGTTTTAAATTGGTCTAAATTTTGGAATAAATTTATTAATATTATAATATATACCAAAAAAAATGTATATGTTTTTATCTTTTCTATTCTTTTTTTTGAATATAAAAAATGTTTTAAAAAACAAAAAATTAATTTTTTTTCAAGGTTCCCCTATTCCAAATTTATTCCTTCAAAAAAAAAAATTATTTTAAAATAAAAAAGTGAATTAATATTTAAAATTTTTAAAAATTTTTTTTAAAATCAAAATATAGACAAAATCAGAAAGGGGAAAAAAATTAAAATTTAAAATTAAAATTAAAATTAAAATTAAAAAGGAAATTTTTTTTCAGTGAAAATTTTTAAAACAAATCGTTAATTTACTACTTTGATGCCGTGACATGTCTTTTTTTTTGTTTAGAATTTTATATAATAAGATTAATTTTTTTTTAAAAACTAAAATCTATGTACAATAATATCAACCTTTTTTGTGGAAAGAAGAGGGGTAAAATGGACCAATTTGTACACTTTCTACATTTCGTTTGAACTTCTTTTTTTTTCAAATATTATTAAATGTATATTCTATAAGTTATATAATTCTGCAAATCATATGACCCGAGTTGCTGCAATCTTCTTAATGACTTAGTTGCTCCTTATGAAAATTAACTGACAGGGTTATACTTAACCGCAGACCTGATTACTCATTTAAACAGTTCTCGGCTGGGTGCCTCTTAATCTGATTATAATATATATATATTTTTTTTTTGAATATAACAAATTATATTAGTAATACTTCAGTATCTTTGTGGTAACCTATGCTACTTGATAAATATTGATAAGTGGTAAAGAAAAAAATATAATGAATTCAAATGTTTGATATAGAAATACAGCTTGATTTGAGGCTTGATATTTTATCTACAGATGCCTCAAAAGTCTAAACATCTTTTCAGCGAAATCTCGAGACGTAGGAAATATTTTTCTGGTAAATATATTAAATTACCCGTTTTTAAAAAACAATCGTCCCAGAACGAACAGTTTAGCAACATTAGTTTGATACTTATCAGAATTCATACATTATTTGAAGAAATTTTTAAAATATTTTATTTTATTAATCTTTATACAAAGAAATAGTTAATATTAAGTTTGACTTCTGAAATGATTAATGTTATAAAAGTTGATGGAAGATGAAATTACCTTTAGATCATAGAGAAAACTTTGAAGAAGTTTGAACCCCATCCTGTAAGTTTGACTATAAAATGTAAGAAGAAGTAATTATTTATTTTAAAAGAAAATATTTTGTTAAGGCATTTTCACTGTAAAATCATAAGATCCCCAAATTTATTGCGTATTGGAGGAAGAGAATACCTTTGATTGTTAAAATATTACTTTTATTTAGATGATTCAAAAGGGAGATTTTTGTGAAAAATGAAGAAGATAGATCACAATATCATGTTTACGGATCCCATTGTAATCAAATGATATTATAGTTGGCCTTAATTTTTTGTGTCAGATTAAGTGAGGCAATACACCTCCATATACAGGTTACCAATCAGACAACATACATCTAGTTCAAGATGTGATACAGTCATTTCATCCCTCAGCAAAGCATCTAGGTCAGTGTGTCGTTACGATAATTGCAAAGTTTTTATAAAATGTGATAAATATAGTTTTTTTTTAAAAAATGTACAACCACATTGTGAAATTTATAAATTTAATAAAAAAAATGACAAAATTTGTATTATTTAAGATCACATGCAGTTTCTATATTATATGCAATATCAGTGAAATAAAATAATTTGGGAATAATTTATGTCACCCATTGCTAGCCAAATTTTATTTATTTTTGTTTAAGTCGCCAGTTTCTTCCTGACTATGAAGAGGATAATAAAATATTTATTATAAATTTTCGCATAATAAATCACAAAGGTTTTTATAATATCGTCTCATCAACTGCATTTATAATTTTGCTCTATGATATAGAATCTTTATAGTGTTAGGAGATGATATAGTATCTATCCTACAAATAATGTTAGGTTCAGATGGGACTATTAATATACCGGTTCCTTAATAATATCTTTGTGAAATAGGAAGAATATAATTATGCTACTTTATCCTATGTTCTCTAAAAATTAACTGCAAATTTTCTCACCAATGAATCCATGTTATCAATTGGTTAGTAAAAAAAAATATACAATCCAATTTATTGAAGAACTATATGATAAAAAAAAATATAACAATTTTTTACTGCTACAATTGTATAACTCATCTATCTTAGAATTTTTAAAGGGTTCTAATTTTTAATTTTAATACATTTCTCGTAAAATAAATGAATTTTTTTTTAAATAGTAATAATATGTTTTTCTGATTAGAGATCCTGTAAAGCTATCTTTTAGAATATAAGCCTTATATTTTATTTTTTTATTGCATGATATGGAATATAAAATGGTATGTGGAGGAGGATTGTTATATATACTTGTATTCAAAGACCTGCGTAGATCAAAATCTTTGGTAGCCTGGATTTTTAAACTCATATATTTTTTTTTTGTTCAGGGCCAAGTTTTGGGCTATGCTGGCAGAAGGGAAAGATTCTAACATTAAAAATAAACCGTGATGGTCCTGGATAATTTATGAGATATATAGATAAAATTACGAAAACAAACCTATTACATCGGAACTAATCCTAAAAAACCGAGCTTCATATTACAAAACCAGTTAAAATTTTCTGGTTAATTCAGTTGAACAATTCAAGTTTTAAGGACTGCTCGCTCTCATTTACGGGAGATCGAGATTAAAGATAAAATGATCTAAAGCATATATATA